GTGGCCCGCTCCTCTCTAAGAACAAATCCAATCCCGATTCCATGTCTTCCTTTTCCATGCGAAAACGCAGCCGCTTGTTACCTTTGTTCGCAGCTTGCCGACGTATGGATCTGGTCGTTGAGTCCAAGTGGGCCTCAAGCAACCTAGCATACCACAGAGGACTGCGTAAGGCCTTTCGCACGATATCGGCGTTTGAAGCGATCAAAGCCCTGTTCCATTCAGGATACGTTCCTCGGCGGATCATAGGAATAGGTTCACCGATATCCAAATTCTTCTGCCAGTGAGCGAAATCGGGAATGAGACAGAGAGAAGACCATCGCAATAAGCAGGTCAAGCATGTGCAGACTTCCGTAGGATCCGGCGATTGCACATGTTGGTACGGCTTTTTATGAATAGTCAGACTCTCCTGTCGTTCGGGACTTAGAACATATGACCGGATAGTGGGGTCGATATCCTTCGTGAGGATAGGACGCCGGAAACATTTCTCCAGACAGGCATAGCGCCAATTTATGATGGACTTTGCGATGCGATGCTCATCTAGGATGATGAAATCGCGAAAAGCTCGGTTGACCCGTTGGAGGTTGAAGATGTCGCTAGGCCGAAGTAGTACTAGGATATCTAAGACAAGTTCATAAGGCAGATCCAAGGGATTGTGTGACTGAGGCTTCGCGTTCTTGGTCTTTTTCGCCTGTCTTTTCCGAACCCTTTCTGTGCGTTTGGAGCGGAGGGTGAGAGCTTCGGTCTTATCCTCCAAATCCCCTAGTTCCTCATCGTCTGACACTTCAACTTTTCGCATGTTGATGTCTTAGATTTAGTTTTAAAGACGTGTAAGGGACAGTACAATGTTATCAGTTGTGATGAGAATCCTGACTTCAAATTGTCGCACGTAATTTAGGCAGTTATCGTGATTTGTGGTAAATCGGAGTTAAGAAGGAGGAGAAAGACATTGGGGATTCAAGATTAGCGATTGAAGATCCCTAGAAGATCCCCCCAGGGTGCCCCCCTCAGCTGACTCCAATAAGGTTTTCCCATAGGTGACCAGCGCTTAATCATTGGTCCCATAGCTGCATCATTACATAATCGTTAGGTGCATGTACCAACAGACCAATGACCTGTATTCTATTAGACAATGATATAAGAACAACAACCTTGAACTTAGAACCGATATGGTTCAAACCATCTCAGTAGATGAAACATCTAAATTTAAAACATCTTTGATCACCCTCAATCATATTCGCCATGACCGTCTATCATATTGTGCTATTCCAGTTTAAAGCTCTTGTGCCACCTGACGAGGATAAGGCCGTGAGTCATCGCGAACACAAATATCTAGATAGACTGACTTCATCTAGGCTTGCCAGCGCATACTAGATCTGGAAACGAAATGCGCCCATCCCACGTCTCAAAAGCCGTACATGAGAGTATTGGGAGGCGGAAAAGACAACAGTATTGAGGGTCGACAGGTTAAGTCTTGCATAGATTGTCCTGATTCCAAGCTGACAACCTGCGCGATAGAATGGAATGACGCACGCGTTCATTCTTCAATTTGAGAATGAGGAAGACAGGAAATACCATATTGAGAAGGATCCAGCTCAGCTTGAGTTTGCCGCAAGTATCCAAGACATACTTGAGAGATCTCAAATTATTGACTTCACCCCTGGGATATTCTAAGATGGTCTCGACATCTGAGACTCTTCAGCAATTCCTTGTCGATTGAGGGTTGGAGAAATAGAAATGGGGTTAAGAGATGACGTCGATTACTTCGCAACGACAATCTAAAAGCATCTGCAGAGGGACAGAATATCGCGATTTGTGATCTGCCTAATCAATTAAAAATCGATGAAAGGATAAAAAAAATCAGGGTACATGGCTAATTGCAATATTCTTTGATATGCGGGATTGAATAGGAGTAGTAATGAACATCTAGGATGGCTTCAAATTACTGGTGCCGTCTACAATCACTACGCAGTAATAATCACTGGAATTGTTCGCGTCGGTAGGGAGACCAAGTACTAAAATTAGGCGCTAAAGGGGACTCGTACAGGCACTAGAGCTAAATCGGGTTAATTAACAGCCCTACGTCATCCCCCACCCTAGCTTGGAATAGCACTGAAGCTACTAAGCTAGGTACTCAGTACACTGCTACAGTACGGGTAGTGTACCTATGCAACCGCCCAGCAAATTGCAACAACCGGAATCTTATCGATTCGTTCATGTGTTCATGATCAGTTCCAGGTTCTTAGTTCTAACCCATATTTCCAATATTTCCCATCCTTCCACCTTCACACCAACCAATTTTAGTGACTGACCAAATTTATTTTCAACAAAGAATTGTCACTATCCTCATCAATTGATACATAGAACATCCATCAATCCAAGATTGAGGAGGCGATCCCACTGACGCCGCGACTGATTTAAACAGTCCCTTGTCTTTCTTCCAGCTATTCCGATACCCCACCACCCACTATCTATCACTCTTCACCCTTCACCCGTTGCCCGCCAACGATCACATCAGCCCATATCTGTATTCCGCTATCTGCGACGGACAACAGGCGACCTGTGAGACTCTAACCGAGTAGCGCTAACGACGTGACCCTACTAATCCGGATTTCAACTTGAATCACGACCCTGCTTTTTCCTAATTCATTCCCGTCAGTTCCTAAAAGCTCCAATAACCAACAGCAACGATGTCGCAACAGCCGACGGCACCGATGCTCATCAACGTGCCTCCTCCTCCATCTAACCCAGAGACTCCGTCGGATATGCCGTATGTTTCCCTTGGCTTCTTATACGCATCACCTGCATCACCTTCTATCTCGACACGACCAGCCATCGCGAAGAGTCGTTCCTCACCAGCTATTCTGTGCAGCCACAGTCCTCCTTTACCCAGTCCTTCACCCTTCTTCTCCTCCTCTAACATGTCCATCTATAGTGGAACGCCGACGAGCACTACCACTTCCCTCTCCACCCTCTCTACGACTGCTATCAAGGACGGCCATCGAGGCCATGCCTTCCATGGCCTCGGAGGCCCCCGACACCAACATCACTCGTCCACAAACTCCCTCGAAGCCGAACGAGCTGATCGGATCAGCCGACTTGCCGGTCTCGAACGTGTCTCGACCCTTCGCGCCCCCAACCAGAACCAAGGCAACAACGCCAATGCCACACAACCCGCGCCCGCGCCCGCTCCCACGGCCGCCCAGCAGGCTGCAGCCGCAGCCGCCGGCCTCACGCCAGCCTTCTTCGATTCGAACGGACAGCCGACAGCTATTACTAAGATGAGCACTGTCGGGACGGCTTCTGCGACGGGTAGTGTCGGGGCGCGGACCACAACCGAGGCGAGCCAATTTGCCGACGCCGACATGGATGCAGATCTTACCGAGGTTGATGAGGATGGTATGTCTACAGATACCAACTATCGTACCATGGATGTTGACTCTATTTCTGGCCCCATCGACCCTATGGATGAGGACATATCGAGCCGCTCAGTCGGGGGTTTTGAGGACCGGATGAGCGACGACGGTACCGCTAGCCTTGTCGCATTCGGCGAGGGCGCAAACAGCACGGTCAGTGGACCTATCTACCACCGTCGACCCCTCCCTGGTACCGCTGGCGCGACTGGCGTCTGGGGTCTGGAGCGAAGCAGTTCTGGTCTTAGTCAGGAGGCTATGAACCGCAGCCGCGAGATGCGCGATGTAGGTAACGACACTCCGATCAGCGCGACCGCTGCAGCAGAGACACGTCAGGCCAAGTACGTCGATGGCGTGGCTGTGGACGGTGGCGGCCACGTCGGCACATCAGATGATGATGTGTTTGTCGACACTACTACCCGCGGCCCTGTGCCCGTTCAACCTGGCCAACCGCGAACAAGCGCACTTCGCGAGGGTGTAGGTGGCCCCGCGACACGCGAAGCCGCCGAGCGCATCATCCGGGAACGTCTCGACAGTGGCGAGAACGCACGCGCCCCGGTCTTAGGTAACCCCTCCGGTAAGGACGGAGACAAGCTAGGCAAATTCTATTTCGAAGAGAAGAAGTAGAGGCGCGCGGGCGATAAGCAGAGAATAAGTGATTCATGCCTGCCTACCGCAACGTTAATTGCGACGGGTTCTTTTTCTACGGGTTTACTATGTTGCTACGGGATGGGACGGTGTTGTAATGGCGTAACGCGGACAAGACAAAATACCAAAGAACAACGGACTAGGACACGGCAGTGGGAAGAGGGCGGTTTCGACTGACTAGCTGTCTTTTTTTTCTTTCTTACCTACTGGATTCACTGATTCGTATCGCTCATGGAAGGAAATCTGGGATACAGGCAAATCGCAGCTTTGAACCGTGTATTACCTAGGACTTGAACGCTTCATAAGAGGATAACAAGAGAGGAGTGGCCATAGGACTCTTTTGATTAAGAGAGTCCTGGTTGTATGTTAAGTGTGCTTTTTCGGTCGGCTTAGGCATACGGTCGGCGAGTTCATGGTCTGATCCGAGACCTAGGGTTGCTTTTAATTTGACGTTGGACGGTTCTTGCCGTTCGTTTCATGAAAGCTTATGTTTTGCCTGGAAGTGACAACGTTGATAAGATCCTGCGTTTATATCTTAGGACTGTGAAATGACGAAGACCCTATATAGGAGTAGATTGATAAGCTTATTGCGCAGATGTCTTGCATTACCTCTTGGCATCTGCAAAGTGGAACATATCCACTGGGGACCTCTCCATAACTATACCCAACTCCACCAGAAAGGGGAGCCGAGCCGCATCGACAGTGGAGTCGGTTATATTAATGACAGCATTAGCCTCACACTGGATAAGCCCTACTTCTTATACACTAATTCTCTTTTAGCTTCTAGCAGTCAAAATTAAAATCTACCAACTAGTAGTCATCTTCACATTCCCTTCATAGGCTAACTAAGCCCGGCGGCAACAAAGTTGTAGATATAAAGCATAACCTCCAAACTAGCATCCGCGTAGGCATCCATGGAGCCACGATTAGCAAAAAGAAAGCCGCCCACGGTGGGACTCGAACCCACAGCCTTGGGATTTCACTTATAATATTCATATTAAAAGTCCCACGCTCTAGCCATTGAGCTACGCGGGCCTCCAGGGTACAGACATGGATTCATGCCTATAATTGTGTGCGATACGCAAGTGGGACTTATATGTGCAAATTGAACAAACTTGCAAACCTAGGGTGGCTTGACTCCTTTTCACGCTAAGCAAGCCAGTTCCCCTTTAACTTTCTTCCTTCCATCCTATGTTGCGATCATGCCGTAGGTGAATGAGTTATCGCTGCTTAGATTCATATGTAGATGTTTGTAGGCTATACAATCTTGATGTCGACAAGCTTCGACACGTCCACGTCGAAGTACTTTCCCACGAAGAGTTGGGTCTTTTGGAAATCCTCGCCTTGCATGGCGCCGTGGAGGTAGCAGTCTCCTACAAACTCGTAAGTCGACGAGTCTTCTGGAGCTTCAGAAGTCTGTTCTGTGGGTTGCTCCTTGCTCTTTCCATGTTTATCTCCATCGTGCTTGCTCGCTTCTCCTTCTACTTCTGTTTCTGTTTCCGCGTCTGCTCCTTTAGCTTTAATTTCCTCCTCTTTCTCTGGCTTCTTCGGCCGTAAGATATAAGGAAAGAAGCCCCCGACGCAAGCTACAACCAAATCTCCCTCCCTCACGCCGTCATCCAATCTCCCCAGACTATCCTCTGTCATCTCAGTCAACGCTCCGCGAACGGCCTTCGCATGAATACGTGCCATGTTGGGATCCCGCTTATTTAGGAAAACCTGGAACTGATCCATCATCATCTTGGATATCGGATCCTTCATCATCCTCCCCAGATCACCCATCCTCCTCCTCTCAACCTCACCCTCATCTCCTCCTCCTCCATCCTTAACCTCGCTTTCCTTCTCCCGATCTAAATTAGGATCGGCACTTCTTACATCTTCTATGGCCGTCATACCAAACCTACCCCCTTCGGTGCGGAAGAAGCGCCGCCCAGCGGCGTTCTTGATTAGAAGTTGTTCATACGCCCCGGCTTTGCCGCACCGTGGGAGAAGAGACATTATTTCGGGCGACTCGCGCATGCGCGCTAGGTTCTCGGGGGTTTGCAGCTCGTGCATGCTGCAGTCGAGCGCCGCCATGACGGCCTCTTCCGCAAGCACGCTCTCAAACGAGGCCCCAAGGTTGTCAGGGGGCGGAATACTGTCGCTTGCTGTATTAGCAGCGGACCTCGCACCGCCAGAGTTGAGAACTAGGGTCCGCCAGAAACGTTGGACCGTGGTTGCTGAGGGTTCATTTGCGAAGGGGTTTGGAGAGGAAGAGGTAGAGGCCGACGACATAACCTCGTGCAGCTTCTGGAATTCGGTATAGCACAGACGTCGTGCGTTTCCGCCGTTGAGGGTAGGTGAGACGTGGACGATGCGGTCGAGCGGCCGAGCCTGCAAGTGCAACGCGTTGTCGTCTGAAATAGTAAGTGGCTTCTTCGCTGTCTCGGGTTTAATCGTGTCCCACCACCTTCGCATGCCCATGGTTGGATTAAATGAGCTTCCCATCCACGGGGGCACGGAAGCCCAATCAGGAACCCAGCTCGGCAGTCCCTTCATCCGCCTTGCGCACGGCGGACGCTCATGAAACCACAACATCAGGTCCTGACGCTCTAGAATCGTGTACCGCGCCGCCTCGATGAAAACCTGCTGAGGCGTCTTATCATAGTCGATGGTAGGCAAGGGTTGCACGCCCATCTTGTGACTTTCAACGCGCTTCGACGGGGTCGCGATAAGCGTCATCGAAAAGACACTTTCCCTCGGGTCCCTCGGCTCGCAATCCCGCGCCGTTTGTATCATAGGTAACAATTCAACTTCTTGGCCCAACCTCCTCCTCCGCTTTGCTACCTCGATTTGGTTTGAGATATCGATTCCCTTCATCGTGTGTGGATACACTGGGGTTTTGAAGAACTTCGTCTCGTAGAATGGCAGAGCGCGCGACGCCGCGATATACTGCAGCCAGCGAATATTACTCCTTCCACATACGACAATAGGCGCCTTTGCTAATATGATTTCCGCTACAGCCTGTACGCTACTCCAGTACAGTGCCCCGAAGATGTCCCTGATCTTGCGCCAGACGTCGAATTTGAACGAGTTCAAATCATCAAACGCGCACGCATTTAACCGCTCCCGTATCTGTTCCAACTTCTCCAATGGCATACTAGCGGCCCTATCGTCAGGCCCTATTCCAACAGCCCGACTTGCTTCCTCATACCGTCGTCCCATCTCCGTGATGGTTTCAAAGGCTTTACTTGTCGTGTCCTCGTCATCTGGACCTATCCAACATAAAGTGCGCTCGGCACCCTCGAGAACAGCGCATTGCACGCGCGCCTGTGCACTCCTCTCCGCAGGGGTGCGGCCGACTAGGACATCTGCCCAGAGCGTGCGCGGGCGCGCTTTACGCCGGAACGTGCGCAGCGCATCGCCCAATTGCTTCGGAATTTCCTGGGCAACGCCGTCGACGGTTACCGTCACGGGGTCGGCTGCGGCGGTTAGGGTTTTCGAGGACCGGTCATACGAGATGCATTCATACGACGTGTCCTTGAGCACCACGTCCGTGAGAATGAGCTCGATCGGCGCATCCTGGGTCTCAGCAGGCTGCAGGATGGCGAGGCGGGCGGTTTGGGGGTTGTTATTTCCAAGTAGCGTGGAGAAGGGGTTACCGGAGCTACTACTGCTTGAAGCCATTATGCAGTATTGAGACTCCCTCGTGAGTCGAGTTGAAGATGGTGAGAAAGAGAGTGAAGGTAAGATTGAAATGGAGAAATTCCTAAGCGGCGCAGCTGAATAGAAAAATCGTGCTGGACTCGAAGCTTGGCACCTGCACCTTCGCACCGCAATCACCACACGTTTCGTGAAAAGACCTCTCATAATATACTTGACGATTCGCAACTATACCCACGTCGCGATAGATAGGCAGCCATGCCTGCCTATTTCCTATCTGCCAGGACGGATTGATATCCATCGCGATACCGCCAATCTGCCTAACAAATGGGACGTTATTTGGGGTCTCTGTCGTGGAGCTCGTTGGGCTTGGTATTCAGCTATTCTAGCCAGAGCGGGTTGGCAGCCTAGATCGACAATCTCGCTTCAGCACGTCCGGGGCGCCTAAGCTATATCCAGCTAGCTGCATAAATCTCCAGGGCAGATCCTCCACTATATTCCTCGGATCTCCAGGGCTGAGTACCCCTGTTTTAGGCGGCGTCGGGAATCTCGTACGAGTCACCGCATTTATTCGACAATAAGCAACCACTTCTGATGCGAGATATAATCTTCGACATGATTTTCGAAGTATCAAATTACTATTACTAGGTACCTAGATTATTCGGTTCCAAAGCTACCTTTTGCGGACATATTCTACGACGCGATGATCGCCAGCAAAATAAAAATAGCGAGACAAAATTGTTCACGATACCGTAAGCCATCAATTTTCAAATCACACGACCTCCCCTTAAATACGGCGTTTAGGCGTGGATCGCTACCTGGACCTGCGGGTAGACCCGCACCATCTCATCATACAAATCGGGATGATTCTGCATCAAAGCCTGCGGGTCCCATCCTGAAGCTACGAAGATCGTGTCGATACCGCTGCTGATTGGTGTCGTGAAGATGTTGCAGATCTGCAAGCCGATAAGGAATGCGAAGGCAACGACGACTGTTATACCAAGTTAGCCAATTAATCATATTGGGAAAGCCGAAAAAAAATCAAGACTTACCGGCAGTGTAAGAGCCGTCGGAGTTGTAAGCTGGCTTGGTAAATACCTAAAATGAAATGTAAGCAAGTCATATCCAGCAAAATCCCCCTTTAAGAAACCTTACCAGGTACAAATAGGCGAGCAAACTCGTCGCATAGCCAACGAATGTAGCGCCCATTGAAAGAACTGGCCCGATCAGACACTCGTTGACAAGTGCATCAATACCGCGGTCTTTGATCATAGTCCACGTATCCTTAGCAGCAGCGAAATAAGGTTTTCCGTACAATGCGATGTACGAGAAGGCGTAGCGGTTGAGGAATTGCACCGCCCAATCCAGGAGTCCGATGATGCATCCCAAGATCCAGAACATTACCATTCCAACTATGTTTCCTTGAGAGCCTTCGCTGTGTTGAGCAACGGAGCACAACTGCCTCAGAAAGTTGATAATCGCCACAACTAATGATCCAAGAGATATAGAACCAAAGCTGTACGTAAGCGCTCGTCGAAGACTACCTCGTGTAGCGCCCCTGGGAAGATTCCGCGGGTGGAAGTACCAGGATCCGTAAACGCCGGAAATGGTCGTGTGGATGGTGTTTTTCAGCCATTCGGACATCCAATACATCGCAAAAGTGATAAAAACGATCAGTCCCTTGACCTTGGCGTTGCTGCAGCCACCCGCCCCCTCTGAGCAAGCCGGATTCTGGCCCGGAGAATACTTCGCATAGACCGCTACAAGGGTCACCGAGTACCATGCAGCGAGAGCTGTGGCGCATAGACCACCTAGTGCGCTCACCAGGTATACGTGCCCATAAGTTTTAGAGACATCAACAGCAGTCTTGAGCATAAGAGCGCTAAAGGGGATTCGCGGAATCCAAGTCTGAAAAGTCAATGAGAACAAGTTTAGGTAAGTATAAGGGGTAAACTTACGATGAAGGCGAATATCAGGAATGCGACAAATATCAAAAACACAATACCACCAGAATAGTAATGGCGAGTCAGCATGTAGATCGCCGTAACCAGACCAAAGACAATATTGAGTATACCACTACGACCGTTAGTACGATGACATTAACCCCTTGAAAAAGACCTCTGTGAGGAAGACTTACGTTATCCAGATGAATTGCTTGGGAAATTGACGGGCTATCAGTACATAGACATAACTGAACACGATTGCGACACACAGACAGAAGGCAAATAGGATGAGAGTGTTCGTGTTGAGGCCAACTTTTGACCCTGAATCGTAGATGCCACCGCCTTGGAAACTTTTTGACGAAGCTATCATTGGTTAGTTATCATCGGAGCAGCAAATCGGAGTTGTTCCACCAACCATATCCATTAATCGAGATACCCGAAACAGTCACA